ACATTAACAGTCTGAAAAAGAGGCAAAGATATGCAATTAAAGGGCTCCTAGAACTGAAGGACAAGCACTTCGAGGAGAAGTTAGAGGCATTAAATATGCCAAAACTAGAAGATAGAAGAAAATGAGGCGATATAATCACTACTTACAAAATTGTAATGGAATGGACAAAATTGATTGGGAGAATTCCTGAGAGCTGGAACTCCATGAACAAGAGGTCTAAGATTTAAACTGATTAAACAAAGCTGTCAAAGAAATATAAAAAAAATCACTTTTACAAACAAAGTGGTAGATGGCTGGAACAAGATAGGTGAGGTGGTGTTGGAGGCCAAACTCATCAGTAGTTTCAAAGCGTTATATGGCAAAGAGTACTGAAAAGAAGGACACCACGAGCATAACTCTCATCTTGTAACTACAATTAGGTAATTACAAAAATGAGGGAAGGGGATATTCCATCAGTACCGGATCTAAAATTCACCAGGAAAGAAGAAGAGATATTTTACATCCCATACCTCCCTCAAGAAAATTATGATTATGTCCTGTTGGAAATTAAATATGCTTTGAGATATAATCTAGAAGAGAATGGTGGACATTGAAACAGTTGATAAACTCGATTTCAAGAGAGGACACTATGGGAAACTTAGACAATTTTTAATGAGTTTAATTGGAAATATTTGTTGCTAGGCAAGGAATTAAATGAGATGTATGCCAAATTTTGCAAAATATACAATGAAGGAACACACACATTCATACCAAAACAGAAATGCAGGACCAGGAAACAGGGTTGGTTCAACAGAAATTGTGAGCGGGCCAGAGAGGATAAGACAAGAAAATGGGTTCAATATCGGATTGGCCTAACCCGCAAACATACAAGCAATACAAACAAGCAAGAAACAATTACACAGAGGTGAGGGGACAGGCAGAAATGAACTTTGAGAATGGTATAGTGGACAAATGTAAAACATATCCAGGTCTTTTCTATAAATTTATTTAATTTAAGCTGCATGTAAAGGATGAAATTCAGAGATTGAGAATGGGGAACAGGACTACTGAGATTGAAAAAGATACATGTGAAATGCTAAATGAACAGTTTAAAAGTGTGTTTGTACAAAATAAGGATTTCAGAGAGCTGGACCAAATACCAATTCCAGAGCATGCCATAGAATACTTAGAGGTATCTCAAGATGAAGTGAAAAAATTACTCGTGGGGCTAGGAAGAAATATAGCGGTTGGACCTGATGGAGTTTCATCTTGGGTGCAGCGAGAATGTGTAACTGAGCTGGGCATTCCATTCTAATTAATATTCCAGGCATCCTTGTGCACAGGAATCTTAGCAGGTATATGGAAAAAGATAAACATAGTACCAATCTATAAAAATGGAAGTCGAGAGGAATCTCTAAATTATAGACCCATATCATTAACAAGCGTGGTAGTCAAAACACTAGAAAAAATAGTTAAAACCAAATGGGTTGAACACCTAGAGAGTAATGACATAACAACGAACAGACAGTATGGTTTTCAAACAGTAAAATCCTGTGTAACAAATCTTTTCTGGGAACCCCTTCGGCTTCCCAGAGCTATCTAGGCTGATATGGATATATTAGACTTTGGCATCAGTCACTGTGAATGGAGTTCTTAGGCCTAACGGGGACCATGAGCCAGAACCTGGTCCCCCTCAAAGAGGCATGATGAGCAATGGCCTATAGAATTGCACATGTGATTTGGATTATTCTATTTCTGCCATCGACCAGGTCAGGCACCCAGAAAGGTAAGCATCCCAAAACAAAGCCCTATTCTGGTTGAAACTACTACTGAAAGTCAAATGAATGGATGGAACTCCTCAAAGAAAAACGAGCAAACAAGCATGACGTCGCAACATATTGCGCCGCCGTTTATGCAGCTCCCCCTCTCCCCGGGAGGTGGGGAAGGGGGAGCCCCAGACCCCTCATGCCGGCTACCCACACCTTCAGTTCTCGACTGATGTGTCTAGGCATTGGTCGTGTGACTCCAGCTATTGATTCTTGTGTTCAGTACTGTGCCTTGTGTCTAGTGCTGTCTTCATGGTGGTGCGTGAGCTTGGAGTAATCTTCACAGGTACTTGGGCTGCATGCGCTTAGAGTTGCCTTCCCTAGGTGCCCTGTAAGTACCTCCCTTGGGGTTTGGCCCCATCTTCTACAAGTCACCTTTGGGTCTACCTCTGTTTGGTCTTTTGCTTCTCGGTAATTGACTGCCCTAAGTGTGCTGGGGGGGGGGGGGGGGTTCCGCCTCCCTTTTTTTACCTTGGGGTGAGGGGTAGTTTGCAATGGTTGGGGTGCAGGGTACTGCACAGCTAATTTTCACCAATTATAGTGGCTGGCTCTGTCCCGCCTGGGTATGTTGTCATCTTGCAGTATTTTTGTTTTTGTTTTTGTTTTTTGCATGGTTAGGAGGGGGGGGGGTTCTGCCTTCGATTCCCTCTCTGGTTTGGACTTGGTTGGGTCTTCTGTGGGACTCTCGGACTGCTTCCTTGTATATCCCTCTAGAGTCTCTGCTTCAGGTGCGGTCCCACCTGCGCATGTTTCTGGGTGGCTCCTGGGTCACTTGGCGGTTGCTCGAGGGTTTGTGTGGGAGCCTGAACTTTGTTGTGATGGTCTACCCGCAGGGTCAAATTTGGTTTTGTCGGCTGTTCTGGTTCCTTCGGGGCCGTCCCTTCCGCCTCTCTCATCACTTCCGCCTCTCTCATCACTTCCGCCTCTCTCATCACTTCTGCCTCTCATCCCTTCCGCCTCTCTCCTCTCATCACTTCTGCCTCTCTCATCCCTTCCGCCTCTCTCATCACTTCCGCCTCTCTCATCACTTCCGCCTCTCTCATCCCTTCTGCCTCTCTCGTCCCCTTCTGCCTTTCTCGCCCCCTTCCACCTTTCTTGCCCCCTTCTGCCTTTCTCGAATACAGTCTGAGAGGACCATCTTCCTTTCGAGAGGACCGTCTTCCTTCTGAGAGGACCGTCTTCCTTCCGAGAGGAACTGTCCTCTCGGAAGAGGATAGTTCGGAAGGGCCGTTCTCTTCCAAACCTAGCCTCTGATTGCTGGGATTGACCTCCAGGGGGCCTTGCGTCGGCTGCTGCGTCGTCTGCTTCCTATTTGTTTTTTTCGGGGTTCAGTGCTTTGGCACCTACCCGAGCCTTCGCTCGATGTGTTTATGGACGCGTCGTCACTTGGTTGGGGCTTTGTGACCAGTGCTCATCATCAGGCCAGGCAGGGGCAGTGGGAGTCCGTCCTTCTGTCGGGCCCACAGCATGGTGCGGTAGTTCGCGGTGGTGTGGATGTTGCGTCAGATGGTTCAGGTCACTCACGGATCGACAATCGGGCTCCATTCGGTCTGCTCTCCAGTGGTTCATTGCCTGAATCGTGGGGGTTCAAGGCAGTCCTTGGCTCTTTGGGGCTAGTCGCTTCGGGTGGCTCGTCTGCTGAGTTTTCGGGTTTTGGCTCTCCTAATGGTTCACGTTCAGGGGGGGGGGTGTCTAATGTCCTGGCAGACGGCCTGTCTCAGTTCATTCTCCTACCCACGGAATGGACCACCACCCAATGTCACCGCAGACCGCTCGAAACGACCTGAGGGGCCCAACAATCATGGGACCAGGCGTGAGCAATCAGAGTGAGCCTCCACCGCCCCCCCATCACCTTGTCAATGAAACGAACTGCAATAGGGCCGACGCCCCTTACTTGAACACGAGCTTCACACAAAGATCACTGCACTGACCAGACGAAGATGGTTCTGAAGGCTGCGCCGGCCCCGAAACTGGCACCACTGGTCTATCATGATGGGAGGACCCCTGAGCCCATGCACAACCCTTCCGGGAAGACCCTCCCACGGGCCCCCCGGAGAATCAACAAGTCCAACATTGGATGACAACTGGAAGAAGCTGTCTGCAGATACTGCCCAACTGCAGAGTCCACAAACAGCAAGGGACAAAAAGGCAATGAAAACCAAAGAGCCAGGGCCAAAGCAGATTCCAAGGAGGTCGCGAGCATTGCCCGCCGACAAGCGAGATGAGAAGCAAAAAGCAGAGACACTGCATTCCGCAGGATCGGCACGAACAGCTTCAACAGGTTAGATGCACGGGCTGCAGAAACCAAGGCACCAGACCCAGGAACAGCCCCCAAACGCCTCCACATCATCCTCAAGCCAATCCGAGGACAGCTCCACAAGGGAAAAGAATTGCAAGACCAAAGCCAACAGGCCACGAGTGCTCAAATCCTCAGCAAACAGTGCAGCTGAAAGGGTGGGAACCTGCACGTGAAGCTGCACAATGCAACATCCCTCGGAAGGGCTAGAGTGAACAAGCACTCATGGAGGTGCTCAAACTTGCCCTCCAGGTAAACCTGGACCACCGTCAGAGCCTCCCGCCACCCTGTCCAGGTTGCACAGGAGGTAAGCCGCAGTGGCTTCCCACACCTCATGAGGGGGGATGCGGGAAGCCAAAAACCTCCCGAAGGACGGGACCGACGGCCCTGAAGGGACACCGAACTGAACCCGGGGAGGGGCTGACACCAATCCAACTCATACGTGGAGGGGGGAAGGAAATCGGACCCCCCTACAACAGCAAGCCCTGCTCAGAGTGTTCAAAGACCCAAGTGGGGTCCAACGGGGCCCAAGGTCCCCAAGTCAACCCCTCCCCACCCCCGGGAACCTCCACAGCAGGACCCGGGGCCCAGTCATCCCCAAAGCCCCAACCTCAAAAGGAGAAGCCGAAGCAACCGGAAAAGCAGGAAGGGGGGCTTGCTGGTCAGACCCAGACACTTCGGCAGGAGGAACCGGGCGAGGGTCTGGCTTGTGATCTCCGGTAGGCCTAAGAACTCCTTTCGCTTGACTGATGCCAGGGTCTAATACATTCATATCAGCCTGGTTAGCCCCGGGGAGCCGAAGGGGCTGCCCCAGAAAGATACAATTCATTGATTCGTGGAAGACTAAAATTTGTTAAATGTATGAAAAAAGGTAATTAAAATATTCCTTAATATTTCAGGCTCATTGGTTCCTGTGGTTTAGACAAGTCTGTAATGATGTGGAATGTCAGTACAGGAGAAGCACTCAGAAAGTTTCGGGGCCATGCTGCTAGAGTTAATTGTGTAGCATTTAACGAAGAGTCAACCGTAATATTATCAGGCTCAGTTGATGGCACTGTCAGAATCTGGGATCTTCGTAGCCGAAAAAATAACCCCATTCAGGTAGGTGAAGGTGAATGTTTCAATAAAATTTGTTTTAGGAGGGCTCATCTGTGTATCTGCCTGAGCTATCCGCCAAGTACCACACCAGGCTCTAACGATTCACATACCATAACTAGAATCTGGCCTCCTCAATAGAGGTATATAGGAATTGGGGTTACAAAATTAACCAGGTTACCATAGGAAAACTAGTAGTAAGGTAGAGTACCCCACAACTAGCAACTGCTTGGAACAACATTTGCAACCCTGATTTAAAGCGCAATATGTACACACTCTTCTAGGTCCAACCAATAGTAGATTCATTTTCTCACCACCAAAAGGCAGCCCCAGTGACCCAAGGGTACTGGGCATCTACCCCACTCATTCATGCACTTGCTGTGCTTGTGCACTGTCCTCCTAGTGCCTCACTGCTATATTTACATTGCCCCTTTGAGCTAAGTGTTGGCCGTCCCTTGGACTCTGTCATGTGCAGGAGTCTGTGCTTATGTTTGTTAATTTACTACTTCATGTGTGTGTTTTTCATGTGGACCTGTTGTGTGTGTCCCTTGAACACTTGTTTGCCTCATCTTCATTTGGTCAATGGTGCCATCTCTGCTTGTTGCTGGCAGTGCCCTTAAGAGTCTTGTTTCCTTTGCCGGGCCAGGTGTTAGCTCTGTGTGTGCATGTACCAGCTGAACACTTTGCCTGGCTGATAACTCATAATGTATCTGTATATGAATATACTCAGTCTGGGTGAGGATGCACGCTGCATCCCAAATTAAAATATTCGTTCAGAATCCATTTTTTCTGGGGGAGCCCCTTTGGCTCCCCGGAGCTATCCGGGCTGATATGAGTGTATTAGACCCAGGCATCAGTCAAACGAATAGAGCTATAGGCCTACCGGGAACCACGAGCCAGAACCTGGCCCCCTCAGAGATCATGGGGAACAATGGCCTATAGAAATCATTGTGTGGTTGGAAGCCACACAATGTCTGACATTGACTTTGTCAGGCTCCCAGAAAGGTAGGCACCCCACAACAAACTTTATCTGGTTAACAAATTGCTACAGAATGTCGAACTATTGGACAGAACTCCCCAAACGAAAATGAGCAAATGAGCATGACATCTCAACCGTCACCGCGCCACGTCTGCGTAGCTCTTCCCTCCCTGGGAGGGGGAAGGGGGCGCCCCAGACCCCTGTGCTGGTTATTTATTTATTTATTTATTTTATTTATATACAAGAAGGTACATTGGGTTTGTGAGAATACATAGCATGGTATTTACAATTTTGTAAAGCCACTGGTACGCGCAGCATTTCGGGCAGGTTCTTAATCTAACAGATAATTTTAAGTAGGTAAATTCTAGCAGATTTAATAAAATGATAACAGATACATTGCAAGAAAAAAATGAGATGAGAGAGATTTGTAGGTATATTAAAGCACATTGGTATATTAAAGCTCTGAATGATTGCATTGACAGCTTGATTGGTAATTTAAACAAAGATTAAATAGGCACCATACAGCAAATTGATAGCACATATAAGAAGACAGCAATGATCACAATGGTAAAGTTGCTTGGATTGGGTACATAAAGATTGGGTAGCACTAGATACAGTGCAATTTTGAAACAACAAGGTAGAAAACTATGAAGATGAAATTAAGTACTTTTTAGTTTTGTTTTTGAATGATGCAAAAGTTGGACAGCTTTTCAATTCATTAGAGAGTGAGTTCCATAGACTAGGTCCCTTTATTTGCATAGAGTGTTTACACAGATTAAGTTTGACTCTGAGGATATCAAAGAGATATTTATTTCTGGTGTGGTGATAATGGGTCCTATTATATCTGTCCAGGGAAAGTTTCAGAGGAGGATTTGCATTTAAGAACAGGGTTTTGTAAATGTAGTTGACACAAGAGAATGTGTGGAGTGAGATTATGTTTAGCATGTTTAGGGAGTTAAACAAGGGGGCTCAGTTTTGTCTGAATGTTGATATCTACACTGTCAGTTCTGTGGCTGATGTGAGACCTAGGTGGTCGTGCAACTCTGGCTCCGAATCTTTTCAGTGCTGGGGCTTGTGGTGTGGTCCTGTCCAAGTAGTGGTGTGCAAGCCAGGAGTAGTTTCACCTGTACTTGGGCTGCATGCACCTAGGGTTACCTTCCCTAGGTGCCCTGTAAGTACTGCCCTTGTGGCTTGGGGTTATGTTCCACAAGTCGCCCTCAGCAGCAGAGGTAGCCCTCAGCAGAGGGCTACCTCTGCTGAGGTCTTTTGCTGCTCGGTGATTGCCCGCCCTTGGGGTCAGCTGGGGTGTTTCATGCACTGCTGTTTGTCTCTGGGTAGGAGGTAGTTTCGTCACTGGTAGGGGCATGAGGTATTGTGCAGCTTGTTTTCACCATAGTACAGTGGCCGGCTCTGTTCCGCCTGGGTCGTTGTGCTCTTGTGGGGTTTTTCTTTTTTTGTTTTTGTTTTTCCTGGCAAGGGGGATCTACCCCTTGGTGTTGGTATCTACATATATATTGAAGGTCCTCCACTAGGTCCCTGTGAGTGTACACGTCCTGATGGTTAAGGTCTTAGCAGTTTGTTTGGCAGTTTTGGGGTGCTGGTTAGCAGTACCCTGCCTGGGCTTCCCTTAGCAGAGCGTCTAAGGGCCCTGAAAAAATCCACTGAGGCTCAGTAGTCTGATGGAAGGTTCCATCTCGTTTCGTGCGAGTTTGAGGGTTACTCTATTTCCTTGTCTCAATGTGACAATCACCTGTTTTGCCTCTGTCATGCTTCCTGTTGGGTTGGTAACACCTTCGACCCGGAGTCCTGTGAGTGGTGTTGCTTGCATGTACTCCGCTTCACCCAATCCACTGATCATGATATTCGGGTGAAAGCGGCTTCTGCATTGCATGCACGTTATAGGTTGCTGCAGCGCACTAGGTTAGTGGCTCACCTGGATGCCCGGAAACTGCCCCGTTTTGGTTATAGGGACCTAGACTTTGGGGTGTTAGTTGTGTTGACTTTGTAATAATCTTATGTAATAATCTCCAGTGAGGTCTGATAGAGACCTTTTGTGCTCTCTGTAATGCTTTTTGCACTACCGCTCACAGGATGAGTATGGGGGTGCACAATAAATTAGCCGCCTCCGGTGGCAACAATAAATAAAAAATGTTAACAACATGAATGATATTATGACTGGAAATGGAAACAAATCCATTATTTGTATCAGTGCAGGTGGACATGATCTAGGACGAGTTAGGAGTGAGGCACTGATACAGAGGTTTAAGACAGCCATAGAATTTGTTAGGAGCAAGGAAGGAATCCCGATCATATGTAGCATTTTTCCAAGAAAGGGAGTTGGAAATGAATGCTTATCGAGGGCACTTGGTGTCAGTTGCCAACTGGACAAATGTTGCAAATCAAATGCAATATCATTCATTGATAATTGGGAACACTTCTATCGAAGAAATGACATGTATGCTCGGGATGGGATGCATCTATCTAGGGCTGGGGTTCTTGCTGTTGTGAACTCGTTGGAACCTGTAGTTGGAGGGTTTGTTTGAGTAGTGGTATGGGAATTGATAGGGAGGAAGGAGGTAATAAAAGTATGTGTTTGTGGGGAAAACAAATTGGCAAAATGAACAGGGAAAGAGAAGAGCCTCAAAATAACAATATACTTAGTGTATATTACACAAACAGTAGGAGTTTAAGAAACAAAATAAATTATTTAAATGCTCTTGTTTGCACAGAAATAATAGATATTATTGCACTTACCGAACCATGGATAAATGTAGAAAGCAGAGAACTATTAGCTGAATATCAACTAAACGGATTTAAACTATTTCACACATATAGATATATTAGACGAGGAAGGGGGAATAGCCATATATGCTAGGGAAAATTTGAAATGTAGTCTCAAAGAGGGAATCAGAACTCGACCACACACACAAATTATTTGGCTAGAATTAAAAGAAAAAGTTAGAAATCTTATAATAGTAGTTATATACAGGTCACCAAACTTAGAATGAATGGAAGTAAAGCATCTATGGGATGAAATATCTAGAGCATCTAGGTCAAACAGTATTTGTGTCATGGGTGACTTTAATTTTAGTGGAATAAACTGGATTAGCAAAACAGGGAATAATGAAGCAGAAGATTTTCTAGAATTAATGAACGATTGGTTTCTTAAAAAACACATTAAGGAATCAACACGGGGAAAATAATATTTTAGACTTCGTGTTAACTAACTGGGAAACACAGATTAACCCTTTAGTTGCACAAGACATCATATGATGCGTTGAGTGACTTGCAGTAAATTGCGCTTGGCATCATGTAAGTGGCAATATATGCCACTTACGATTTTTTTATTATTTTTCCCATGATCAGTGAAATCAGTGATTTTCTTCTAAACCATTAACAGGTTTAGAAGGAATTATTATTTTTTTTTTTTTTGGTATGCGCCTGTGAGTGACACATGCTAAATAACCAGGCTCCATTTACGGGTTAACCCTTGTGATGCTCAGGGCATGTGTCACCCACAGGCGCATACCAAAAAAAAAATAAATAAAATAATAATTTTTTCTTCTAATCCTGTTAATTTGTGTTCTCTGATCATGGAAAAAATAATAAAAAAATTGTAAGTGGCATATATTGCCCGCTATAGGGCGGGGAAGTTTGGCATGAAACATGCGCTGACTCAGCGTGCGTCCCAGACAGTTTGTTGCTCCCAGCTGTCAGGCAGGAGTGGCCACAAAGAGATAATTACCTAATTATTATTTCAATGTCTCTGATTTATTTTTCGTAGTTTTTTTGCTGTAATATTATTCAATAGTGTGTAGTGTGATATATTTATATAATAAAATAAGTGAATCATCGCTGTACTCAAAAATATGGTGTGCAAATTGTTGATTCAATTATTATGTTCATCAAGCAGTGAACAAATACTTTGTCGGTTATTACACTATATACTCAGGTTATATATAAGTATCTGCATGATTTGTTCACCATAACGAACCACTTAAGTTGCTATTATGAGTCAAAAAGTAAC